ATGGAATACATGGCAAAGAAGATAGAGAAAGCAAAGAAGCACACTGTCAGACTCATAGGGAATCAAGAAAGGAGGTATGAGGTTCAGCTTCCTACCGATGGTTTTGGTTCTGGAAATGAGGTGAAGACACACGAGGTAAAAATTGGAACGGAATTTTATCCAACGTGTGAGTGTACATGCAACAAACCGAAGTTGTTGCACCTACCTTGCTCTCATGTGTTGGCTGCCTGTGGGCAGATTGAGTTGGATGCTATCTCCTTCGTGTCCCCATACTATTTAAAAGAGGCAGTGCTCAACACCTGGACAGGCGAGATGACAGGGTTTAGAGTCGTCGGCAATTTCAACAAGGTAAACGACGGTGAGAGAGTATATATCCCGCATCCAGACCTTCGGCGAACAAGTAGGGGCAGACGGAAGGCCCGTCGCATCCGGAACGATATGGACCAGTCTGAAGCTGGTGGAGCAACCAGGCAATGTTTGTTATGCGCGGCTTATGGGCATAGGATGAAATATTGTCCCGACCTGAACAAAGATGGTGCTTCCGCATCGACGAGTGCTTCCACATCGACGGCTGCGACAACAAGAGGAAGAGGCGGACGTGGTCGTGGCAGTCGAGGCCGAAGGGGCGGACGAGGAAGAAATAACTCACAAGCTATATAATGTGTCGTAGTGGGTTTTAATATGTCAGGACTATGTTTTAATTTGTAATATGTCAGGACTATGTTTTAATTTGTAATATGTCAGGACTATGTTTTAATTTGTAATATGTCAGATCTATGTTTTAATTTGTAATATGTCAGGACTTTGTTTTAATATGTAAATCCTCATGGACTATGTTTTAATTCGTACTATGTCAGATCTATGTTTTTATTTGCGCCTGAGATTTGTTGTTTGAATTGCAGATATGTCTTTGTATCCGTTGCTTAATGGCAACATCGACAGAAAGCACCGGGGCGCCCTATTGGAAGCGGGCAACAACTTAGACGTGTTGGTCACTCGTACCCCAAAGACTAACTGGCTGATACACGATTCATGGGTTGATAGGTATGTGTGCATATAATGGAGTCCATATAATGACTTACTATGTTTTACATACTTTTTATAGCCGCTAACAATATTTTTATTTTGTAGGTTAAGTTGGGCTGGACTTCTGGCCGGTGCTGCCATAGGTCCCTTAGAGGCAGAATCAGGGTGGCAAACAGCGATGCAGACCCGTTTTTTGGCTGCGGTCCCGACTGCTAGGGCCATAGACAACGATCCTCATGGACCTCTTTTTAGATGGTTGAGCCAGTTTCAGGTAACCATCACGGCCACGTAAACAAATGTTGTTTTTTAGTTGCCCGATTTTCATACAATTATTACGTTTCTATGTAGATTGTCTCGTTAGGACATCCCAATGTTGAGTTGTCGGAGGCACAGATTGACCGGTCCTTAGAGGCATATATTCTTTGGCTGTTCGGCAAGACGATGTTTACGGAGAACCACGTGACCACTGTCGATGCACGACTCATCGGTATTGCACGAGAGATAGCTGACGCACGTTGCCCCGCGGATATTCTACAGAGGAGTTTTGGTTCTGCTGTGTTAGCGGCTACGTACAGAGGCCTGTGCAAAGCTTGCTTGTTGAAGTCTAGAAAATCTGGTGTTGTTGGATGTCCATTATTGTTGCTGCTCTGGTCATACGAGAGATTCCCTATTGGACGACCCTATGTGTACATTGATAAACCTTTTGGTTTGGAGGACTTAGCTGGGGCTTATGTGCCTGCTATCGGCGACTTACCTACTATGGGTTCTGTTTGGGCACGGCGAGAGGTACATTTATATTAAGTAACAATTAATTTAATTATTTTTTGCCATTCATTAGTATTACTAATGCTTATTTGTTGTCATGCACAGAGACAGTTTGCACATAGTCAGGTTAGGGGATGCTACCCGTCCTTCACGGCGCAGTTTGATAGTTTGCACGAGGATCAAGTTATCTAGGAGCCATACTCGGCTGAGGCTATATCATCGAGGTACCCAGTTGGGATTTCTGGATTGTGCACTAGAGATCGGCATTTTTGGATGACCAAGGCCAAGTTGGTGTTCGATGTGACGGTTGAGGAGATGTCTCTTCATAGAGTAATGAGACAGTTCGGTCTATATCAAGAGCCTGAGATTCCAAAAATTCCACAGTTGCCAGAGCACGTGCACAAGTAAGTACTAATACTATTTTAGTTGTCAGCTATACATTCATAATATACCTAATTCTGTATCGCGCATGTCAATATCAGGGACAGTCGCCTAGGAGGAAACAAGTCCATGGATTACTGGCTTAAGAGCATTACCCCTTACGTTGACGAATGGACTACCGCTGCGACAAATACCTGGGGTGAGGGTCGGGCCTTTAACTGGCAAATGTTCGGGTTGTATCTGCAGCATTACCGGCATACAACAAGGATCTACTTGGTTCCATCAGCTGCTCCTGATCAGATCGAAGCCCCTCTCACCAGCGATATGTACCCAACTGCCTCTGTTGTGGGAACCAGACACCACGCGGTAAATGCCTTGGTTCTTATATGTTGAGTCTTTTGTTAATCTGGACATATTCGTTTGGGTGTCTATTCGTGGTGTCTATCATACAACGAGGATATAATTGGTTAACTCTTCATCTACAGGGTGACTTGACAGTACAGGCGCGAGAGGAGGTTTCCGCTTTAATGCGGCGCTTTCAGAGGGGAGAAACTATCCCACCGCGAGAGGGCGTCTCATGGTTGAGGCGTCTTGATGACAAGCTACGGGGGATTTACGCTGCTGTTACGTGTAGACGGTCTTCGGATGTTGCACTTCCTCCTCCAGCACATCGTCCGCCACGTCCCTCTGTACAGCATTCAGAACCACGACCCTCTGTGCAACGTTCACAACCACGACCTTCTGTGCACCGTGCAGAACCTCATCCTTCACAGCCAGGGAGCTCTTCCAGGCATGAGCCACCTCCTTCACAGCCAGGGAGCTCTTCCTGGCATGAGCCACCTCCTTCACAGCCAGGGAGCTCTTCCTGGCATGAGCCACCTCCTTCACAGCCAGGGAGCTCTTCCTGGAATGAGCCACCTCCTTCACAGCCAGGGAGCTCTTCCTGGAATGAGCCACCTCCTTCACAGCCAGGGAGCTCTTACTGGCATCAGCCACCTCCTTCACAGCCAGGGAGCTCTTACTGGCATCAGCAGATGGAACTAGGTAACCCTACTCACTACATTCTTTTGAACAGAGTAGTAATCGTTCATGCATTTGTATCAATTTTACAAGTTTTTTACTTTACCGCAGGCGGCAACCTGTCGCAACCGTTCATGCATTCAGAGCAGTCACCCATCCTTAGTGGTGGTGCTGATTACTTTGAGGGCGACCGCGAGGATGATGACCATGGTACAAACATTTATGGCTTCTCGCAGACAGTGTTTCACACTCCACCACCACCACCGACGCAGGAGACACAGACCGTGACAGACGAGGTTAACTATGGTCGTGGTTATCGCGAGCCTCGTCCACCGCCTCAGCGCTTATCGCCTTCCGGTCCTCGCCTGAGGAAGACCCAGACTCGTCGCCGTCCCCCGCAGTGATATGCTTATTATCTATGTATGACTCATTATCTATGTTAGTTTCAGACTATTCGCATATGCTTATTATCTATGTATGACTCATTATCTATGTTACTATCGCACTTCCTTCTATCTGATCAGGAGACATATATTGTTTTATGTATGCGAGAGACATATTACTATTAATTCGCATTCTTATTCCAGTTACATTTCCAAATAGATTACAACCGATAATTAAGATACAAGTACATCTGAATTAAACGGTGCGGCTGAACTTGTGCAATACATCTTACATACTACAAAATAAAATTCAGATAGAACATAATGCCCTACAATAATACAATACAAACTGGAATACATCTTACATACTACATGAAGTCATCATCGTCATCCTCTGTTGATGCAGCCCTCTTGCCCTTCGACGATGCGGTCCTCTTGCCCTCCGTCGATGCAGAACTCTTGCCCTTGCTGGATGCAGAACTCTTGACCTTGCTGGATGCAGAACTCTTGCCCTTCGAGGATGCAGAAGTCTTGCCTTTGGACGATGCAGAACTCTTGCCCTTTGACGATGCAGAACCCGGAAGCGGCGGCATGAAGACATCTTCGTCGTCCTCGCTCTCCTCAGTCCATAAAAATGTATTCTTTGCTGCAGTCCTTCTGAAAGTTTCACTCTTCGGCTCCACTACCTTCTTCCACCTTTCATGCAACCTAAGAAGTTCTTGACGTACCTCCTCATAGGTCCTTTCAGGCCACCCAGACCTACGTAATTGGTGAGCCAACTCATTCATTATGGTGTCACTACCGGTGAGTTCGTCCCATGGAACTATCCTATTGTCCATCCTGAAATCGGTAACTAGACTCAGAAGAGTGCTGCTCATCCCAGGGTGAAAACTACGATCGAATGGATAATGGGACATCTCGACTACACTACACTGGAATGCTTATCCACCTTCGCCTGAAGGGGGTTTTATAGATACAGAGGAGAAAATAAGGCGGGAAAGAGTTGGCGGGAAACGGGTGGCGGGAAGGGGTTGGCGGGAAGGGGTGGCGGGAACATTTCAGCACGAGCCATGCAACTTCGGCCTACATGAGACCGAAGTAGTACTTTTCGGCCTAGACTAGACCAAAAAGTCTATTTCGGCCTAGCTTTGGCCGAAATGCTCCACTTCGGCCTAATGATGGCCGAAATCACCTACTTCGGCCTAATGATGGCCGAAATCACCTACTTCGGCCTAGCTTTGGCCGAAAAGCCCTACTTCGGCCTAGCTTTGGCCGAAATGCCCTACTTCGGCCAGAGGATGGCCGACGGGCTACTAGTTGTGGTTTTTTTGCATTACGTCATATACTTTCCGAAAATGCTATAAAATCTATCACAGTTTTGAAAAAAATTCGACAATCTCGGCTATAGTAGGCCTTTTCTCACGATCAACCTCCATACACCTTAACGCTATTTCAATGCACGTCTTAACTTGCTCTGATGTATGCAACGCCATTGTTTCCTTCAGCCGTTTTCCCCAGTTTCCATGTACCTGCAAAGTTGGAACACGATGGCGAAAAGTAGGATGGAAAGTAAGGGACAACATGATTATAATATTTGTGGAAGGAAACTTTGTTGATGACTAAAGATATCTTCCATACATGCTCAAGAAAATCTTCCAAAGACATATATGCACATTTGGAGTAGCCTTCATCTCCTGCTATTACCCGCACAATTATAACACCCAAACTGAATACATCATACTTCGATGTGATTTCGCGTCTCTCAATGTATTCTGGTGGCATGTATCCACTGCATGGTATATATCTTAATATAATGATTTATATAATCTCTTCTGAAAATAAATTGATTACTTATGACAAGGTGTTAACTTACGGTGTTCCTATAATTTTGCTTGTTATATAGGTTTGTGATAAAGGAAAGAGTCTTGACAAACCAAAGTCTCCAATTTTCGGGAACATGTTCTTGTCCAGTAAAACATTCGCAGGTTTCAAGTCAAGATGGTAAATTGGATCTTTGCATCCATTATGTAGGTAATTTAATCCCTCACAGACTCCCTTGACAATTTTGAAACGTGTGGGCCAATCGAGTCCACACGATTCATCTGTATAAGTAAACATGCAGTCTATTACAAAGATGTATATTAACAGATAGGTAAGAAATGCATAACTTAAGGGATAATTTTCCTTTACATGCAAAACAATATGGTCCAAGCAGAGCAGCATCATACCAGAAATATGATTGTCAAGGCTTCCACCCTGCAAGTATTCGAAGCAGAGAACTCTTTCTTCCACATGGGCAAAAACATATTCACCTTTTTGCTTAATGCATTGGTGTCCTAGGTGATAGCAGTAGCCAACCAACCGGGTAACATTTGGATGTTGGGCCCTCATAAGATTATTAAATTCATTCCTAAACTGTGTGTCGTCAAACCCCGGAATGGATGAAGCTTTTTGAGAGCAATCTCTTCCCCATTTTGCAGTACTCCCTGTTACAAATTGGATGGCTTACGCACAGTACTAAGTACTAGTATTAGTTGAAATTATAAACTGTCACTAATAATGATATCTATTTCAAGAAACTAATAATCATATAAGTATACCTTGTAAACTACTCCATACCCACCACGGCCAATGACACGCTCTTCAGAAAAATTATCTGTAATTTGTTCCAAGAACTCAAGTGTAAACTCCCTTGTCGTCGCGCCTGTATCCATGGTAATATCTCCTGGTAGTGCTAGGATTGACTAGGTCCCTGTTGGACGTGTCTATCTGATAATAGGGAAGCATATATATGCATATAACTTCCTACAAAAATAAACACAGACTTTCAAGAAAAAAATAAACGTGTTTTGCGCAAATAAGGAAGAAAAAGAAAACAAACGTGTATATAGACAAACTGAGATGCGCTGGATACCGAGGGCGCGGGACGCGGCCCTTTCCAAGAGCGCGAAGAACAACGCTACCTGGTTTGTAACAAGGGGCAAAGGGATCCAGCATCTTCTTCCCCGCCGTCGGCGAGGGGAACGCGACGGTTAGGCTTACTGAGGCCGCACGGGTGACAGCGAGGAAGATGGGCGCAGATCTGGGGAAGCATACGGCGGCGGCGCCGGCAGGTTCGACGACGGCGGCGAACTGGATTTCAGAAGCTCCGCGGTTTGGGGTTGGATTTGTGTTTGGAGGTTCAGAGGGTAGTCTGCACGTACTCGCACTAGTTCTCAGTTGAATGACAGTTTTTTTTTCATATATTAGCTACTGCAGTGAAAAATTAGTGGTCAAATTAACTACTCTAATATCCAAATTAATTGACACATCCTCTGCACAATCTAAATATTCTAAAGAATATTTGCATTCTCCAATCTCACTAGTATCAAAAGCTATGGTAAAAAACCGACTCCCTCTCATGTGCCGCCACCTAGGCCCCACCGTTGTCGTGGGTATCTACCGCGTGGTGGCGGCGGCCCCCTGCTGCCTGAAGGTAATGGGGGAGGCCCCCTTTCCGTGGTTGTGTCGATGGCTCCCTGGTTCGGATGGGGGCGGCGATGGTTATTGGCCAACATAGACATGTCGGGACGGCGGCCACGGTAGTGGAATGCCGGGGATGTGTGCGCACTGATGATCTCGGCATTGTGGCTGCAGACCTAGGGTCCAAGCCCAAATTCAGCAAGGTTGGTGGTGTTCGTGGCGCAGGCTGGCTGGGACATGTCGATTCCGACCGACGCCTGTTGATACATGGTCTTTTTGTGGTGTGCTATGAATCATAAGTCAATAGAGCCTCGTGCTCGGATGTGGTGGACGCCGGCTATTCATGTGCTGTGACGATTTGGCAACCCGAGTTTCAAGGCTCTAGCGCAAGTTTAGTCTTCAACGAAGGTCAATGCCGGCAATGGTGGTACGCGAGGGCGTCTTTCTCCCACTCAGAGGCATTGTCGAAGAGTGCTTCATCTTCGCATGATTGTTTTTGTTCGACATTAAGGTCGTTGTGAATGCCGATTGGTGTGGCTGGACCCTTACCCGTGGTTTGGTTGGGTGGTCGTGGGCAGTTTTGAGTGAAAGCTTGAATCTTAGACAGGGGACGACCTTGGCGAGGAGGGCGCCCCATAGGTTGCATCTTCGTAGAACTCGCCTACTACCCTCCAGATAGTGGTCATGTTGGTGGTCAAGCTCGAGTTAGACCAGGGTCGACGTAGTTTTCCTGTTTCCTTTGTTCATTGTTGCATTTTATTTTAATTTTTCTTATAAACCAGATCAACTCTTTATTTTTTTTGCCTTTTCCTATCTATATGAAATTACTGGAGC